AGCCTAAGACAGTACTATCTGTTCCAAGTACCAGTTGGATAGCTATTGTGACAGTGTGCAACCTTGTATAAGTCCCATACCAATTTGTAACTAATCAGAAAGACAATGAGACAATCTGGGACACCAGTTTTTCCAAGAGCATACCATAGTTTGAAATGGTCAACACAACTGTCCTCATTCTGGTATTCTTAGTTTTTTTCCAATTATCCATCATGAGTCAGCAATTATATCTTTTTTTTTTTGGCATTTCCTGCTTCCAACTTGTACATTTAGCAATTCACTTTCTATGTATGATACTAATCCACACCGAATGATCTCGACCAAAATCTTACCAGCATCTGATATGAGAGAGATTGTACAATAGGTCCCTTTCTTTGGTATTGGAATCTAAATTGATCTCTTCCAAGTTGTTGGCCATTGATTCTTTTTCAGCTGCTTATAATATTACTTGTTGGATGTCACGGCTTTTCTTTTCGGTGGTGATCTCAGCTCATCTGACCTCCTCTTCAGTTACCAAAGGGTTTTCCATATATCTGACCTCATTAACTCTATATTGGTTACTGATGTCTTTCATAGAGTTTTTCTGTGTATTTCTTCCATCTTTGCCCGATCTTGGCTCTGCTAGTTATCATTTGTCCATTGATGTCTCTCAACATGTACTCAAGCTTAGAAGTTTTTAATCTCATGGATGTTCTGAAAAACAACCCTTGTTTTCCCATATTTCTTTCTTCAAAGATTTTCCAACTGTTTTACTTTTAAGAGATATTTAAGCTTCTCTTCTCTTCCTCTTTGATTTTTTTTTCAGATTCCTTTTGAATTACTTCTTTGAATTTTGTCCACAGCTCTTCTGGCTCTCCATCAAATAGGTCCCGCATCTCAAAACGGTCTCTGATGTCTTCCTTTATGGGAATGGATGCATTCAGCAGGTTATTTCTTGGAAGTCACATGATCTTGTTCCTTCTCAGCTTCACTTGAAGTTTGGAGGTGGCTTATCATTGCCTTCTCCCACACAATTTGAAAAATTGTCAATACCGTTGTCAGCACTGCGATCATACACTGACTAACACAGATTTATATTATTGGTACCTAATCTAGCTGGCAGATTTTGTCCGGCATTTCTGGTAGGACCTAAAATTCAATAACTCAGGCAACAAAGACTCTAGCCCTCCCCCGACTCCCAACAAGACACCATACTGTTAGGAGGGCTAGACCATTGTCTGTTTATATATAAACGCTCTACCAAGTTGTCAGCAAAGATTAATGTCTGTATGAGGCAGACCTAATAGTGTTTTCCTTACATGCACTCGCTTTACACAGGGTGTAGGAGTAAATGTGTGACGCAGGTGTGTGCTGCCATCACAGCAGTTACCGGGATGGGGACGCATATCTGTTCAACCGGTATGTGAGAGAGGGGCTATAAACCCAGTGGGTGTGTGTCTGGATTATCTCTTATCACTTTACTCTCACTGCAGGTTTTATTTTCCCCATTTCCATCCTCAGTCATCAGCTGAACTTCATGACTATATTAAGGATGAGTATAAATCGGTGACCAAGTAAACAATAACAGCCAGAGCCTCCTTTGAAAGAAAAATTTGTGAGGAACAAGAAACGGAGATTCTGCTGCGGCATCCGCATGCAGTAGCCTGGCCGTTCCCCCTCTGCTGCGCTGTCCTGCTGTTGTAGAGCGGTAAAGAGCAGCACCACTCGGGCCACGTCCGGGTCCTCTTACCGTGGGTGAGAAGCAGCCATAAAGGCAGTGTTGTGTGGATTCCGCTCAGCGGGAATCTGCGTCGCCGCGCGTTCCCTGCTGGGAAGAACGGCGAATTTATGAAACCGAATATAAATGGCCAGCCAGCTCTCTCCTTCGTCCTTGACGTCCGGATTATCCCGGTATCTGACTCCCACTAACCCAGCTCAGATGTGGAGTTACTGTAGGAAGAGATTAGGAAAACACATTCCCAATGGTCCTGTAGGAGGTCAGAGCTGGGTAATGGGCCCGGAGCACATTATCGATTGCCTTTAAAAAGGGACCACAACACTGCAAATGTGAATATACATGAATATATGTTTATAGATGTTTAAACGTCAATAAATGTGACTTATCGAAAATGATGCACGGAGAATCGGTGGCAGGATAATTGGAAAGTGAGGGACAGCATTCCCAGAGCAACAATTGAAGAATTCAGGTGCTAAATCCTGTATGTTCCTATTTATCTTGTTCTTTTACAAAAAGAAAAACAAAAACAGCCCTTGAAAAAAGCAGATGGCAGCTTCTGTCCTGCTAGGCTTTTGGGGCCTGTTCAGCCTTGTCCACCATGGACTCTCTGAATACCCAGTCCAAGAGTCCAGCCCCAGCTGTCCCGCTGGGAGATTCTTTGGGCCCCTTTCCTCAACACGGACCACAAACATTCCCCGATCTGCTCCCTCGCAGTTCCTTCCTTTTCTTCATCGGGTATAGTTTTGTCCGTCCCGCTCTCTCTCAGCATCCCACGTACTCCGGTATATTTAGTGAAGGTCTCCTACGGCGTGTTTGGCAGAGTCCTCCGGTTGATTTGCTCCTGTTCGCGTAGCGCCTATTTCAGGTAGCTCCCCGCAGCAGCCGAGGCAAACTCTGCAGTGTCTCGCTGCTGTTTCGTCTCGTCTCGGTCTTCGTATGTCTCATAAAAAGGATAAAAAGCAAGGACATTCCCCCTAGCAGGGAAAGAGAAAAAAATGCAGAGAATGAATCATGTATAGCAGTAGATATGGGGGGGGGGGGGGGCAAGGCCAGAGTATACATCCTAGACAGAGATGCTTCAATTGCTAATTAAACAGCCAGTGCAGTTGTAGCGTGGCCCAAGGAGATGCAAAGAGTTATAGTATTAGAAAAAAGTAAAGTCACATTCATCCTGGGCTTCTACGCAGGCTAAATGGAGTAAGGCGTACACATACACAGAGCTTGCATGGCCATAAGAGGTCTTTCCGAAGCACCCTGCAAGCATGCCTGCATGGTCAGCCCAACACGCTTCTCTAGAGATGACGTAAGGCATGGCAGACTGCTCTTACTGAGCGCGCTCGCAGCCCGGCATGTGTTTATATGTGCGACCGCCACAGCCACCTGTGTTTGGAAATGTCAGTCTGCCTGGCCTGCCTCCCTGCATCCACCCCTCCTGCCCCCCCCCCTCCCCACCAGTGCTGACTCTCAAGGACTCAGATAAATTAGAGATAATTAACTTTGCCTTGATCTGCCGGCTAATCTTACACTCAATAATAAAGGATTCAGCTGTCACTTTGGCCATCTGCTGCTCAGTGCAGATCCGCCGCTCTATGTGTGTGCGTGAAGGTATGTTGACAGTCGCCATTAAATTAAAAATTACCTGGGATTATTAATGTACTGTAGCTGAGTTAATTGCAAATTTTTACCATTATCTCTCTTTTGTCTGCTTTTCATCTACATTTCTGCCTTGGCTTTGGCTTGGCTGCCCAGCTGTTGGAGTGAGAAAGGAGCTCTTCTCAGTGAGGAAGATGGGTGGCCCGTCCTTATGTCAATGCATGGATGAAGGTCGACTGTGGAGCAGAGATGGGCCGCTCATGCTGAGCCTCAGGGTCATATACACAGGACCCACATTTGACCAGAGCATGAGATGGGTCACTAGCCTTTGAGCATGGGGTCCCTTCTGCTTGAAGATTGCCTGTTAGGAAAGTGGGTCTGATGACTAGCAAAGAGTTGGCAGCTTCAGCCCCATGACCAGTCGCTGGCGGTCACACTGCCACACCGTCATGTGCTGATCCAAAAGTCCCCAACTCTTAAATCGCCACCTTAAAAATGAACAAAGCAGGACATGGCACTTATATATCTATAAAGGAATGTCTGGGTTTCTGATGTATACTGAATGAAAATGGTTCTAAGCTACAGCCCTTCGTTTGTCTAGGAAGAAGATTGTCAAAAAGACAAACCCATGCTATTGCCATGAAGGGACAGAGAAATGAAGCGTCACTGAGGAGACTGGGTCTTTGGAAAGGAGAACATGATTCAGCTTCTCTCACCACTGAATCTGTAGATGCTTTCATGTGATGGAAAAAAATTGCAGTAGTTTTTATTTTCTGGGAAATACATATTATTAGATTAATAAATTATATGTATATCCCTTAACAGTACAAGCAGTGTGAAAATTGGATGGATGGATGGATGGATGGATAGTTTTGAACCTTGGGTGATTTCTTCACTGGTATTAATATTCATGTATGGCAGTGTTGTTGATAAGAGATGGTTAACTTTGTTCTGCAGGTCCAGAACAGACTTGCGATCTTTCCATGTCACTCCAGTGAGTGTCCGGTGAGTCCGGTGACTTATGACAGACCCAGACATGACTGTCTCAAACGTTTTAGGAAAGAACTTCAAAGACCAACTTGATCTTCAGATATTTGAAGGATCAAGAGTGCAAAAGGTTCACTGTGACTTTAATGTTCCAGGTTAATTAGCAGTAACTCATAAAACACCAAACTCATGAAGTCCACAGTTCTCTATTGCACCCAGGGTCCCTTCTTCTTCTGTACAATCTGGCAACTGAAAACCCTTGTTACAAAACAATTATCACTTGTCACAGAACTGCTAGTGTGAATCTGGGCTCAGACACCAGTTCTGTGTCCATCTGCTCATGCTATTTCCTCGCACACATCCTCCGCACAACCTGGCAACCACGGTCTGTTGTTTCCAAACAAAGGGAGATCTCTCTTTGCTCCCTGACTCTTGTTACATACCACATCGAAGTTGGCTGTCACAGGACTGCAAGTGTGAATCCAGGTTCAGTTCTGTTTCATTTGTCCAGGGCAGCCAAGATGTGCATTTCCTCCATCCAATTGTTTCCACTGACTCATTACGCCATTCAAAATCTAGTCCTCTAACCGGACTGCAGTTGTGATGCTTGTTCCAGACGCTGCCCAGTGCAACCAAGTTATTTTGCTGACCTCCCTTTTCTACGCGTACTAACTTGGACATTCTTCCTCCTCTCTTTTTTCAGATGAATCGGCCGATTCAGGTAAAGCCAGCGGACAGTGAAGGACGGGGAGGTAATTGACCATCTTCTCAGCGCACGTCAAAACCGGAATGTTTGTCCAGTTGTGTGTGGGTGTTTTTTGTTGTTGTTGTTGTTTTATTTTGTTTTTTACATTCTGTGATCAGGGATCATTCTCTGCCATTTTTAGTATTAGCTTTTTATGCCTGAGTTACTGAATTACTGCACATGGCGAAAGGCTTACTCGAGAAACAAGTCATTCTGCTGGATACGATTTGTCAGTATACACTCATTCATAAGCTGCTTAAGTATATATATATATATTTAGCATAATTA